CTGTCATGCACTCTGCAGCCTTCCCGCTTCCTGTGGTTGTGGCCACTGTGCTGTGGGGAGCATCCCCCATCCGGGGGCTCATTCGAGCGGTGAGTCTGAGGGGAGGAAGGGGGAAGGGCACGGAAGGAGGGTTTGCAGGCTGAATGCGTATGCGGACTTTCTCTTTTTCCTCTCTCTCCCTCCTCCTCCCTCTCTGTCAGTCCTGGGGCTTGGACTCAGACCTGGGCACTGTCGTTGAGCTGCTTTTTGCTCAAAGGCTAGCACTCTACCACTTGAGACACAGCTCCACTTCTGGCTTTTTCTGTGTGGACTGAGGAGTCGAACCCAGGGCTTCATGCACGCTAGGCAAGCACTCTACCACTAGCCACATTCCCAGCCCTTGTCCTCTTTTGTCTGCAGACCTCGGAACACAATGCCAGCATGGACTTTGCAGACCTCCCGGCATTATTTGGAGCTGCCTTGAGCCAAGAGGGACTCCAGGTGACTTCTCTTCCCATTTTCCTATTTCCTCCATGTACTTTATCCTAGGACATGCCCTGGGTGAAACTGGAGGTAGGAAAAATCATGTTAAGAACTAGCCTAGGAGGCCGGATGCTGGTGGCTCAAGCTTGTAATCCTAGCTACTCAGGAGCTGAGATCTGATGATCGCGGTTCTAAGCCAGCACTGGCAGGAAAATCCGAGAGACTCATCTCCATTTAACCACCAGAAAACCGGAAGTGGTGCTGTGGCTCAAGTGGTAGAGAGCTGAGGAGCTCAGGGACAACACCCAGGCCTAGAGTTCAAGCCCCATGATCGACACAACAACAAAAACCTAGGGATGTGGCTTAGTGGTCGAGCACTTGCCTAGCTTGTGTAAGGTTCTACATTAAATCCTTGGCACAGTCCTCCTCGCCCCTCCCCACACACACAGCCAAGTACGTGAACATGTCTAATGGAACTCAGAACCTAGTGGTAGCAAAGTCCCCTCTGAAACTCTCTTTTGAGTTTATGAGTGAGATAAAGTAGATAGGGATATAGCTTTTCAGTAGTCTTTAGAGCAAGTTATTGACTATATGGAAGTCACTTAATCTTTTAAGATTTTTTTCTAACTATAAAATAAGATTAAAAAAAAATAATAAGATGACAGCTGGGCGCCGGTGGCTCACTCCTCCAATCCTAGCTACTCCAGAGGCTCAGATCTGAGGATCACAGTTCAAAGCCAGCCCGGGCAGGAAAGTCTGTGAGACTCTTATCTCCCATAAACCACTAAAAAACTGGAAGTGGCGCTGTGGCTCAAGTGGTAGAGTGCTCGCCTTGAGCTGAAGAGCTAAGGAACAGCGCCCAGGCCCAGAGTTCAAGCCCCACGACCGACCAAAACAAAAGGACAATTTTAGAACTATTGTGAATGAGCATGAATTGGATAAGCAATACTGTACTATTTCACAGAGGCTACCGCATAGCAAGAACTCAGTTGGGCCTTATATGTTAGTAATTTGTGAAATTGGAAACTGGAAAACAAGTGAGATGAGTGGGTCATGTGTTTACTGGAGAGGGAAATGTGAAAGAACTTGAGGAAAACTCACACATGGATTCAAGAACGTAATTAAAATCAGTAGGAAATTAGGGGCAGGAATGTATTAGCCTGGAGTGAGTGTGGATTATAGGGAAGCTCATCTGAGGAAAAGAATGATGGGGAAAGTTTGATGAAGGGATATTATTTGCTTTAATTGTATCTATGGGAGGCAAAGAGAAGATGTATGGGGAAAAGGTAGAAAAGTAATGAGAATAGTGTGTGCAGATGGTGGGTGAGGTGCTGTGCTAGTAGGCCCTGCAGGAAGAATCTAGGGAGAAAACTAAACTGTTTGCTTGTCCCCCCAGGGGTTCCTTGTGGAGGCTCACCCAGAAAATGCCTGCAGTCCTATTGCCCCACCACCCCCAGCCCCGGTCAATGGGTCAGTCTTTATTGCAC